CGGCGCTCGAACAGCGGTTGTTTGGCCCAAACCTCCATAATTTTCCGTATTTGACGTAGATTCTCTTGGGTGTGATTCATGCGATTACGCAGGGCTGCCACCGGCTGACGTAACTTCTCCAGATAACTCATAATATCTGAGAGGAAATCATAATTAGATTATTTATAAAAAAAAAACCGCTCGACTGCTTACCTGCTGAATTCCACACGAGCTGATCCACACCAATTTCAACCAGATCATCAATCATCTTTATCTCGGGCTCAATCAACTTTAACTCCACTGGTGAGCTGCCCTCCTGTATGCTGTTGTACCAATCGATGGTCTTCTCCAGGTTCAGTGTATACGAGCGAAAGACATCACTCTTCTCTGCAAACTCAATCGCAATCTCCGGTATGCCATCAATTTTCATCTGCTGCATGTAGTGCACCTCGCGCAGTATGGAGAACAGGGCCGAACTAAAGTTGAGGATCAATGAGTGACTGTGCTGATCGCGTGAAATAAGCGACTTTTTCAGATCCTCCTCAATTTGGGCAGCAAGCTGCACGGACCAATCCTCAAAGAACTGTCTCTTACAGGCTCCCAACTTGGCCATTAAACACTCATAACGTTCCATAATTTCCAGAGCTTTTTCGGTCTTAGTTATGCTGTGAAAGATTTGGAGCTATTATAGATGTTGTACGAAAAAACCTTAACTAAGAATTTAACATTTAACATTCTAGATCATATTGAATCTTCTTTCAGAATTTCCAAAAATTGTGTATAACTCACTCATGCTGTAGTGCCTTGAAGCTCTTGACGGGGGCAGTAATGCGGGATTCCAGCTGATAGCACCAGCGTATGAAGGCCGCCACCGAGGGACAATTGTAGTTCGGGTATAGCGTATCACTGACTCGGTTTAGCTCCATTTGCTTGTCATAAATATTCTCACAGACTGTCATCTCATCGTCGAGCATGCGAACTATTTCCGCATAGCGCTGTGTGAATTCCTCTTTGATTTTTGGACGATCTAACACGCTACCCACGATGCTTATAAGCTGTGCAAAGAGTGCAATACTTAAGTATTTAGCAAAGGAATAGAGTCTAAATATAGTCTCACCTTAAATATACTCTCTAGATTATGACAATCATCGAATGCCTGACAGAGGATGGCGGCCAGCTTCATGTCTAGCTCCAGAATGCGCGTTTGGAAGCCCTTAAAGTCCTCATCGAACTCATGGTCATCGGGATCAAGCACGTCGTAGCTCTTCGATGCGAATGCCGTAAAGTATTGATTGAACTCCACATAGACATCGGTTATCCTGGTGCTTAGCTGGCGGCCACGCAGTCCACCGATCTCGACTTTCTCTAATTTCAGGAATTCAATCACAGTAAAGAAGAACCTGTAAAAATCACAAATATAATACACTATCTATGTATATATAAACTAAATGTAGTTTTAGATTGTAAATACCACTGAATTGTTGTCAAACGCTCGAGGAACGCATTAAAGCGCTTGAAAACTGAATTTGGATGAAAAGTCCACAAAATCGGTGGACGCTCCTCAGGCTCCGTAAAGAAGGCAGCCAAGCGCTCCTTGTAATAGTCAAAGAGTTCCCGAAAGAACTTCAATATCTGTATAGAGAGTGTGAGGCGCTGCATGGCCTCGTCTATATCGCTGTGAAATATCGACGAGGGATCCAAATAACGCTTAGCCTGGAATTAAAAAGAGAGCAAATAATGTAGTATATGGACTTGTATCTGATTAGTATATGAATATATATGATTGGCAATCAGTTGACTGAATTGATTTATTTAAACTTTAATTAATTCCATTTTACAGAAAGGCAAATTGCTGATTGATTACATTTTCAACTGTCATCGTTATCCATCAACTAAGTGAATAAATTTCTGGCAGACTGACTGCCACTCATACTGCACATATACAATATATATACAAGTACATACCTGATGTATAATCAAATTGCATATTTCCTGCAAAAGTACGGTTATTTTCGCAGACTGACAATAGTAGCGTGAGTTGCCCCAAAGCGTGCAGACGGTGTGCATGAAAGGTATTAGTAGTGGCTTGAATTCGGCAAAATCTATTTCCTCCAGTTGATGCAGTGGACGTTTCAATGGGTTCAAATAGAGCGTTATATCCTTTGCTTCGGCAAGTGCTGCGATTGCCCAATCAAGTTCAAAACAGTTTGTTGGCATGCCAAAGGCAAAGATAGACAAATATATACACATATGTATGTATATTGAGTATACTCAATAGCAATGGCATGCTGTTTGGCCATTTAATCGACTGCACTCACCCGTGACAACGTTTTTGAAGAGCGTCTGAAAGCACGGATGGTAAGCACTCGACGAGTATTCCAATATTAAGGCCATGGCTCGTATGCGCTCATTGCGCAATTGGTCATAGATAAAGGATAGATTCTTAAGTCGATTGTTCCAAAATGTAAATTCTATGAGTAAGTTGATTTGGGTGATAAAAGTTGAAATATAATTCGATTAACTAAATTATAGGTATAATATAGTATAGTATGAGTAGGAACGTAAGGAAACTGTATTATTATATACATATATTATATAATGAATATAATATATAAATATTAAACAATATTGGCTTTATATTTAGTAGTTGTATACAAAAAGAAAACTTCCCAAGTGTGGTTATTTTTAAAATAATGAAAATCGCATAGGTTTTAGGCTATAATCGCTTTAGGCTTTGCCGTCATCGTCCTCAAGTGAGGCCTTGCAGATGGCGAAAACTATTGACGATTAGATGTCGACTGATAATAAAAAGGCCCAAAAAGTAAGTGTTGTTTTGACATAAGGAAATGTTGCCTGTCACCATTCACCAAACAGATAATAAAAGCTAGTTTTGAAGACATTTTTACCCATATGACACACAGACAGGTACAGGCTAGGTACGCGGGTAATAAACATGCAAATTTGGCCAATGCCTGCACGTTGCTAGGATATATCAAAACAAACGTCAACTGCAAAACTTGAATTTTATCAATAAATAATAAATAAAGTTGTGCCAAAAATAACAGCAACAAAGTAATATATGCACGTATGACTAGAGCTTACGGCTGAGGCTCACCTGTGTGTGGTGTGGGATTCTGGCCATTGGCAAAAGCGTTCGTTGGACTCTCCTTGATGACTTCGTGTATCTGAGTCGCCCACTTGATGACCACGCCCTCGATGGCACTCTTCAGATACAAATCGAATTGGCAATGCTGCGTTTCGGTCAGCTCCTTGGCGGCTTTAACTATTTTCTCAACACCCACGGGCATGGCCAGTATGGTTTCACCGCTCACCTGACCCTTGACCTGATGCACGGTGCTCTTCAAGCTGTGCACATGCTTCTGCACATCCTGCGCGACCATGATGGGCCAGCTTCTGTAGTTATCCTCATTGGAGAGCAACGGCACCAGCACCTCCTCGACCAGAGCGGACAGCTGGTCAATTGTGCGCGTGGCCAGGTCGCCAAAGATAATGAAATTACCACAATTCTCACGTGGTATGGGCTGGGCATACCGTTTGATAAAGTAAACTCCTTTGCTCTTCAGCTGCGAAAGGGGAAACGTGGTGGAGGGCACCAGCTGCGCAGCGGGCGTCAATATGATAATTAACACCACAGGTGTATTTCGATCCAGAAACTCTTTAATTATGCCCTTGTGCTCCTCCACCGTGATGACACGCGTCCACTTCTCTGGCTTCAGTTTAAGGGATTTGATGACAAACGAGCCCATCAACTCCAGACGTGGATCCGGCCCGCCGGCTGCAGCGGCAGCGGCTGCCTCGGCACTTGTGGAGGGCTGCTCCATTGAAGGCGCCCTCCAGGTGTTTGTTTGCTGTTGTTAACACTGATGTTGTTGTTGGTTGTTGTGGCTGTGTGTGAGCGCGTGTGTGTTAGTGTTTGATTGACCTTGTTACCAGTAACAACTATATAATCAATATATATCCTATCAAATCAATATTCTTACTAAAATTATACCAAAATTTCCTATGTGTAAAACAAAATACTTTTGAAGCCCTAAATACTTATGTAATATATAGATTATGTAAGTTTTCTTCATAGCAGACATCACTTTTTTAGCTGTTATGTAAGCATAACTGCCATAACGGCGTTTTTGCATGTATATTTTAATGGTTTTTTTTTTTTTTTTTTTTTTTACAAAATTAACCTATTTTAAATCACTTTAAATAGCTGGACTACAGTTATACTATTCTATAATATATATATATATATATATTTTTTTTTTCAATTTTGTCTATTAGTATTCTGGCTTTATTTTTATTTCCGCTTTGCGACTGCTCACCTGCGCTACCGTTAGCTGACTGAAAGGAAGTGCTTCGACAACAACGTACGCCAGTTAGGAAAAACTGATCGTGGCAGCTCCCGGTTGCTAGGCACTTGTTTATTTTGCACCTTTACCGTTGTTGATTTCCCCTGTGCCATAACATTTGGTTGTCAGCCACGTTGCCACGCTTACTTCCGGCCAATTGTTGCGCCGCCATTTTATGTTGCCATTGCACGCAAACGCCTTGGCGTTTTGGCACGTTGCCTAATAAAGTTGGCTTTCGGCAGGTAATCTGGGAATTGATTAGACGCTAATTCAATTATTTATTGCCAACTTAGCTACGTAAAAAGAGAATGTATACAATGAAAGGTTATAAGGACTACTTATTTATGTGTACCTATCAGATTAGAGAAACCTTTGGACGAACAGTCATAGAAGAGATAATTCTGTTAACAATATTATAAATAATTTATTACAAATAATTATCTCATTTTGTATAAATAATATGTCTTATCTTAACATAATTTTTGAAATATATTATTAATATTAAACAAATCCATTTTCAGCTTTCCCCTGCGATATAAGCAAGCGAGCCATAATATATCGATTATTGCATCGGTGATCAATTTACTTTTCCCTCGGAATGTTAGCAATCGATATGCAGTGTATCGATGATTTAATCAGTTTGTCATGCCACAAAAGTAGCGTAGGCACAATTTGATTGCTTAACACATAAATATACTCAGACGCCTTATATAATCTATTCATAATATAAATATTATTTCACTTTATTCATGAGCTCCTAAAACACTGCAATGTTTATCAATAAATCCATTTGCGCCTAATTATAACAGCTTGTCGGTTGTAATTGTCTAAGTTGTTAGGCTTGTTGCATGCCACAGTGTCGGCAAGCCGTCAAAAACTAAGCCACAAACGCTTAGAATATGAATTCGCAATGAACTGGAAAACTCGCAACAGTCACGCCAAAATCTGTTGCATATGTGCAACAACTGTGTTTGCTGAGAGTAAGCCCCACTCTGCCAAATTTCCCCTACATATTTCAAGTTTATAGCACATTTGAGGCGCAAGCGTCAAGGTGCTATAAACAAACATAAACAAATAACTGTTGCGCCCGGCGCAGCAATGTTGCCAAGTCAACCGTAGCAACATTGCTGAGACGCAAACGAGCAACAGTTTCTTGCATGACTTCCGTATGCAAAAACTTTTGCTATTTCTATTTCTATTTTTTTATGATTGACCTAGGCCTAGGCCTCGGTGCAGCAACGGTTCATTCAACCTGCTCGGTTGCTAGGAAAACCAGTTGCTCGCTCGTAATAAATATTAAAGCCCAATTATTGCCGGCAAACCGCAAAGCGGCTGCAAAGCAACTCATTGAAGCTGAAAAGTTGCTTACATTTATAAATGTGACTTTGCCCAAGTCTATCCCAACACTTCTCGCGCAATGCTGCAGTTGGGATTGCTGCTGCTGAGTGCCGCATCGGCAATTGTTGTCGAGCGCAACATGTTTGCCTACTACAAGGTGCCTCTGCGGCTGCTCGACTTGGCCAGGCCTCATGCAAACGACTCTTCCACTGCCGGCCTCTACTATGTGCTACAGTGTCCGCCCAAGCTGGACGACATCATACCCAAGCCCAGGGACATGCAGACCTGCCAAGTGGTGGACCACTACAGAGATAAGTCCCGGCACTCCAGATACAAATCCAAAAGGCTTCGGCCAGCCCGCACTTACCTCATGCCACTGCCACCAACAACCGTTAAACGTATGCGCTGGGGCTGGCGTCAGCGTCGCAGCAAACGCCACAACCAGGACACCGCACCAGCCCAGGATCAGGCCACCCCACTTTCATACCTTGGCCAGCCACATAGCCGCCAAAAGCTGCTCAAACTGGCCGCGGATCATCGGAAATTTAAGCGAGGCAACAGCTCCAAGGGCTACCAGCACATGTACCATCGCGATGAGGTCTACAACGATCATATCTTCTACGATGAGCTCCAACTTGATGGTCAGTACCACAATCTGGGGAAAGCTAAAATTGGAAACTAATTGGCAGCACCTATGCCCATTCCAAATTCTCTTTAATATACCATTAATCATTCACTATAAATATAAATAAATATCCAATATAAGCTTTTGCAACAAAACTCCAATTTATTCTATAGGTATAATTGTAATAATAATTTTAACAATTAAATTCTATTACTGAATTCTAATACCTAAAACTATTTTCAAACACAACCCATCAAACAAGAAAGAAAAACTCATTTCATTAAGCTAAAGAAAATTCAAATAATACAAGTAAATAAAGCAACAAACCAATATACTCTCTTTCTCATTAAGAACAGTGTATATATATATGTAAATACATGCAATTAATATTCGTCTGGTAGAAACAGATCGTCGTAGGCGACATTATCAAAGACCCTTTTCAGTATTAACGTAAGGCATAGTTCAAAGGTTTTCAGCATACTTGGCTCAAGCTCTTGCCAAAACTCTAGCCAATTTTCATTGATAACATTGTTCATCACAATTGTCATATCCGTATTTTCAGTATATAATGAATCAAGCGAAATTATCCATCTATAAAACAGGAAGAGCTTTTTATATATATTGTGAGATATTTTATTATTCTATTTTCTTACCGCTGCAGGTCGACTTTGGGCTTCAGTTCATAGATACGCAAGTATCGCTTGTTATTGCGATATTCCTGTATAGCCTTTAACAGGATTTCCAAGCGAAAGTTGAGAAATTCTGAACGAAAACTTCCCGTTGCATTTGCTCTAAATAACAAAATACGAGACTGCATATTATAAGTGCCTTTATGAATGAGCCTTGGTATATAAGCTCTAATTATCATGCTGCTACTACTCGGATCCTTATTAAAGCCCTTGACTTGGGTTATGGTTGCGTTGTTGAATCCCTGGTTGGTTAAATTTTGTAAGTAAAATGATAGCCAAACTGAAGCGCCATAGGGCCTGTTCACAATCGAGATATCGTCCAGCTGGGTTACATTCAACGGAGCCAAGCCAATTCCCGGTATACCATTTGGATAACGTCTAATCAATTCGTTCATAGTATGGATAAGGCATTGGGAGTCCCCAAAGTGGCATTTCTTGATATCATCGGCTGCATATACATATACCAATGTTTAACTAATTGAACTCAACAATTGCTGCAAAAACTTGATTACTCACGCAGCTCTATTCCCAATGAAGTTTTATATAGCATTAACAATATGACGAGCAATAAGGAAAATGTATGCATTCCCAATTCCAGTACGTTTGGAGTTGTTATGAATACTATTTAAAAATGTACCTATATATTATTATTTTTATTTATTATTTATTTTTAATTATTATTTTTTTTTTTTTTTTTTTTTTTTGCCTATTACATTTGCTTACAATCACGACACGATTTCACTTAGCACCTGCGTCAGCTAATGCTCGGCTGTAAATAAAGTCATGACTTTAGCTAGAGTTAAACTTATAGACAACTATCTGGAAAACCGGATTGTCAGTTAAATGAATGTATATAATTAAAAAAAAAAAAAAAAAAAATATATATTTCCTGTTACATTAATTAAGGCTTCCACAGCTAATATAAATCTGAGCTTAGATTAATTGCAGATTAAGTCTCATTATCCTTGAGGAACATGTCGTCGTAGGATATTTTCTCAAATATATCTGCAATCATACTCGTAAATCCACCGCTGAAAATATTCTGAATAGCTGGTTCCAGTTCATTCCAGAACTCCAACCAGTTCGCGTTAAGCAACTCATTGACTGCAATTGTTAGATCCATGTTCTCGGGAAATAAATTATCCAACCACACAATCCAGCTGTCAAATTGATTTTGATCATATAGTGTGTTGTCTATATATACATATAATATCTACAAGGGGTAGTTTGAAAACTTTGCAACTAACAAGAATATATTCTATTCTTGTATACATTAAACAAATTCCAATTTCCAGATATTTTCCTATCTTCAGACCACCCTTGTATATGTATAATTTTTGAGAACTCACCGACTTATATTGACAACTGGCACCAGTTCATATATTTTCAAATAGCGCTTATTATTCCGATATTCCGGTATGACTTTCAGCTTCAATATGAAACGTAGATTCTGAAAATCCGATGTTGAGCTTCCTGTCGCATTTAGGGCAACCATCCAAACCCGTCCATTGGCCACATAGTTACCCTTGTGAATAAGACTTGGTATCTGTCCGTGTATTTCCATTATGGTGGCTGTTGGATCCTTCCCGAAACCTTTGATACGCTTTACTGTCGTATTCTCAAAGCCATAAATCGTCTGGTTTAATTGCTTGAATTGGAGCCAAACACTACCTATTTGGGCATTATTCCAGACATTCGAATCTTCAATGTTCACAACGTTGATGGGCTTCATACCGATTGCAGACAATCCGTGTGAATATTGTCGTATCACAGCATTCATTGATCCAACAATACATTTCGAATCGCCAAAACGGCATTTCTTTATATTGCTTGCTACGCAAAAAGAGATTTGTTTTTATAGCAACACAATTGTATTTTTTCTACCCACGTAATGTTTGACACTTTATTGCGATAAACAGATGGAGCCCGATCACAATAAGAAATGTTTTACGCATACTTGAAATATATATCATGTATATATACATACAAGTCCAATGTTTTTCAGAGAATAATCCTCTTGTATTTGCCTCAGCGTTTAAGTATTCAATGAAAACGAATACCTTTTCAGCAGAACATTTATAAGCTCAGCAAATCAAAACGCAATTATCATAGTTTTATAAACCGGTTATTTGTAAGAAATGAATAAAATAAAGGAATTAAACTAAGTTCCGTACATCAATTCTAGTTTCCATAAAATTAGTGGAGAGTATGCGATGTTGGGTTTCGAATTGTCATTTAATACTAAATGCGATAGCTTAACCTGTACGAGTTTATGTGTATGTATGGTAATATACTGCTACTTTAAATCTATTTATCGTTTATATTTGGTATAGCTGAGTAATCAACGATGTAAAGTTTCAATTCACATTTTCATTATTCGATAGAAACATATCATCGTAGGAAACATTATAAAATATATCTTCGATCATGCTCAAAAATACACTCGTAAATACTTCCAATATTGGCTTTTCCAGTTCATTCCAAAACTCCACCCAATTCGCATTGAAAATTCTATTCATGGCAATGGTCAAGTCTGTATTTTCGGGAAAAAAGTTCTCCAGCCATTGTATCCACCTGCAAGTGGGACAATGCATAATTTTTTCTAAATATACATAGAATTTACTTACCGATCCACATAGACATTGGGCACCAGTTGATAGATCTTCAGATATCGCTTACCATTACGATATTCCGTTTGCACTTTCAATGTGAAATCGAAACGAAAATTTAGGAATTCCGATTCAGATTCGCCAGTTGAATTGATTCGCACCATCCAAAGCAATCGGCCCATGGCTTTATATATGCCTTTATATATTAGTCTGGGTATTTGTCCTTTGATTATTATTTTCGATGATGTGGGATCTTCGTCGAAGCCCTTAATATCAATTATAGTTGTATTCTCGAAGCCGTAATTGATCTGATTGAGCAGCTGAAAAAAATACCAAAGTACACCCTCTTGCCGATCATCAATGAGCACCGTATCCTTCACATGGACCACATCCAATGGCTTCAAACCCACCGAAGGTATTCCCTTTGGAAAATTACGTATCAGCGCATTTGCAATATCCCGAATACAAGTGGTATTCCCAAAGCGGCACTTCTTGATATGCTGAGCTGAGAATTAAAAGTAGAGATCACCAATCTACACCTCAGTCAAAAAGGTAACGATTTTATTTTTTTTTTTTACGCACGTAATATTGAGCACTCCGAACTAAGAGTCAGCTGCAGTCCGATCAATACTATCAAAAGTTTCCGCATTTTAGACCAATGCAAATACTTGCATCGTTCCGGGCAGTCGGCACTCAAGTAAATCCCAGTAAGTTATTTTTTTATTTTTAGTCTAATAGAAGTATGTATATCGGTTAACATAACCTGTTCTGAGTAACTCACCATATGATAGAAATTGAACCGGCTCTAGTACCTACTACTAGAGTCACTTTATATTCTGTCTAGATCAGGTCGGTGAGCTTTGCTACCGAACAGCTTCTAGTTAGATTATACAGCTGATCGAAATACTAGGAGAATGTAATATACAATAACACTTAATTTGTGCTTATCTAAGACCACTATTATTCCCATTAATAATGGAATCACCCTGACTATTGATATTATTTATGTATTTAAGAGCTTGTCTTCAAATGGAGCATCTACATATTTTCAGCATTTTCTGGGTTAAAATAAAATAATATTTAATATACTTTTTACATACATATACATATTAATATGAGTTTCTCATTTATGAGTGTCATAAATCGATTTACGCCTTTCCTGTCGTATAGTAAGCAACGCCTCTATAGTCAACTATAAATAATAAAATGTTAAGCAAACATTTATTATTCTGTCCGTCGCCTACACCGTAATTAATACTAAATTATCAAGTGATTCATAGCTAAAAAGATATATCATTTAGCTTCCGTTTGCATATCATCCAATTAAATGACGATTACATCTTACTCATTAAGACTTGAAGACAAGACAAAGAAATGAGTCGAAAACGAAATAAATAGATATATATATCCCACAATATACGAAACAGATGCATGCAGCCTTATGGATATATTATCTCATCATTATCTTTATTTTATGTGATTTACCCAACAATAGAAAACAATTTGATGGCAAAGGTGAAACATGCCTTAAAACGGTATAGACAAATTTTTAAGTTGTGCTCTCCCAATGATGACATATATATAATTGTGAATTAATAAATATAAATATATCATAAATTACAAATAGTTGTTCAATAAAAGCACACAACATGAAATAATTTTTAAAAGAATTTAGGAAATATTTTTGAAGAGGGCCCGTTAATATTAACATATATATTATTTAAAATTGTTTACGGTTTCTCAGTTCACAGCCTTATAAGTAATATATAAATATAGTTTAAAATATATATACTAATGTATATGTGTGTGTGTATGTGTGTGTGTTTATAATAATTATTATCGATTACCGTACAGGGAACTTAAGTCTACTTTGAATGCCACACGTTTATCTTTTATCGATGCATTTTACAGTTATGTGTTTATGTATGCACATGGTATGGTGTTGCTAAGAAAATCTGTCTTGGATTTTTTGGTATACTGTGTACATCATGTTGAAAAAATTATTCTATGCAATCGTATTACACTGATTCCCAAGATTTCGGCTTTCAAGCGAACAGCGCGAAAAGCGCGACCCAATTTCTGATATGATGAACTAGGTGCTGGGATAGGGTCTGTGGATAGGCTGCGCTGTTTGCGACGGGATGGTTTATTGTTATTATCGGGGCAGACCTGAACCGAATGCTAGCTGATGATTACATGACCATTACTGGCATTATCCACATTACTGCTGTGGCAATTCAGCTCATTGTTATTGCTGCTAAAACAAACCTCCTCGCTGCCATCGGAATCAGTGCAGAACAGTAATGGCTACGCATCCTCACCGTCCATGATATCTGCATCTGTGTCTGCATTGGTGGAAATTCTGCAAATGGAAGATATTATGAAATTGGATGAATGACTACATAACTGTAGGTGTTTGTGTGTAAGTGTGTGTATATGTCTATATGATGAGCTGCCCTGAGACCTATGGGAGAAGAGGCACAGCATGTGCTGACACTGATACGATTCGAATCTCTTAAAGAACAGCAAAATCAATTAGAAACTACATAGTTCCACATTCAAACAGAGCCATATGCTATCTACACAAACAACATTTTACTGTTACTATCTACAATAATTTGTTAGTAAGAGTTTAGGAATACAACATCACATAAAAAAAGGGAACTACATACGAAACATAGAGACACAATTACTAACAGTTAGAAGACTTGAGGTTTTCAAATAAAAATACAACTAAGAAAGAACCATGCATATATCCCAGCAGATATAACTGATGTGACATATTTTCTTTATTGTGGGAGTGAGCCAGGGTCGAAAGGTTTTACGATCATTTTTATTATTTCATAGCTATTTACAAATAAAGCTATTTATAAAACAAAGCTATGTTATTTCATTTATTATAAATAATTACGTCTACAGAACTATCAATAATTATTCTTATTATAATTAACATCACTTTGATATAGGCAAACGACACAAACAAGAGTTTCTCTTTATTATACAAAATTAACACTTAAATAGCCATAGACAATTAAGAGGCGACATTTCTCTGCAAATTATTGAAATAGTTTATGGAGATTCCATTATCGTTCAGAGTCAGCTCGCTGCATAGAGAATGCCGTCCACATGTGGTTGAGTTGTGTTCGGTGGTTTTTGTTGGTTCGATGTTGCCGCCATTAGTATAAATGGATTAGCAGATATGCCGGCACGTACAGCAGCGAATTTCCAGATTTAAATAAACAATTGAAAACCGCATTGAATTTTCGATTTTAAAAAATAAATGTTTTTCGTATTTCTTTTTTTAATATGCGTCAAAATGTCGAAATTCTTATTAATTTATATATGGTCCCAAACAAATTTATTTATATGTGGTCCCAAACAATCTTCTTTTTCTTTATTTGCACATTTAGCAGTTTTTGGCATGTTATTATTGCGTGCTTGCCAATCGCAAACTTTTGAGAACAATTTTGTACCAATGCCAAGAAAATCGTTTGCCGATTTACAACAAAATTTGTTCGCACAGTTTTCAATTAGCCGTAATTTATAGATCAGTCAATCCAATAGTTTATTTTTATTTTCGTACATTTTTTACAGTGGTAGTCAACGTCACACAGATAATAATAGTAGAGTGGCGAGCAGTATAAGAGTAGTAGGGCATGTGCATGTGTGTGTATTTGTATTTAGTATAAGACACACAGAACAAATGGTGGTAGTCACGCACACATATATAATAAAAGAGAATTTTATGATACATAAATAACAGGTAAATAATATTAGCAGCACGTTTTTCGATGATTGAAGCTTTATTGTGTTAAGTTAGCCACGCCCTTTCGATATATGCAAGGGATGATAGTTATACCAAATTGTCAATTATGAATTTAAAATCTACATATCTTCGGTAAGTCCAGGTTTTGCTGCTCTTCTTTTCATTCCAGTCTGCGATTTGCAACTTAAAAAATAGCTTATGTCTACAATATACCATAAATCAAAAGGCGAGAAATACTTTATCCCATAATTTGCCATTAAATGCATACTTTATTTGTTTAAACTAAGCGCGCTAGCTTATATTATTAGCCCTGATAATACCGATTGTGCGAACGTTGTGTGGGCACAATATAAACAACTTATGACTTACCAGAACTTATAAATAATTTAATTTAAGATATGAAACGATTGGCTAGTAATAAACATCTGAACAGTGCATTGTAAATTCTTGTTAGTGAATTGTTAGTGCTGTAAAGCGTGTGATGTTAGTATTAATATCATAAAAGTGGAGGACATCCTAAAGTTATTTACTGAACCACAGCCAATTAAATGCATAATGCATTATTGAGCTATTTTTTCCGAAACTGTATCGAGAGGTTTGTCAGTAGTGTTAGTTTTATCGCCTACAACTAAGGCAACATCACTGTGAATAATTAAAAGAATAAGAGCATAGGCATATGTTTTCGGTTAAGTATCAATCAATAGTTACAAGTATTACGAAGAGTGAGAAACAGAAGAAACAGAAAGAAAACAGAATGGAACTAAAGAATTATTAAAAGATATCAGTAGAGAGCTTTTAGAGTGCTGGGAAAATAGAAAATACCAATTGATATTAGGATAGTACAGACCAGAGTTAAATTTGTAGATTATTTACCCATATGGAGACGTAGGCAGTGAATGTGTAGGCGTATGTATTTGAGCAATGAATGAGATATTATGTGTAAACATACCTGGCATACGTAGAGTTGGCATTCTTTATCGAAAAACTATTCTGGCTTGGTAACACCCAACGCTGCACCCACTGTAAAGGGAAAAACATCAGGTTAGATGAAGCTGTCATCAGCATATGACATCTAAAGCTCTATTAGGTGGCTACCGACAGTCACGTAAATTGATAAAATTCAACTTGATAGCTACAATTTATGACTGACTGGCTAAACAGTTAATGCTTTTTGTCACGACTATTGATAAGGAACTTCTGACTTTTTCAGCAACTTACCCGACTGTTCATCAGCCACTTGTTGCCCATGCACGCGGCCATATGTATCACAAGATATATACAAAAAATTATGTATAGTACAGCAAATATGCCTGCAAAAGATGAAAGAGAAGCATTAGCTACTCAAGTAAATTCTGAATAGTTAAGACTTGGGCTACTCACAGACTAGTGCCAGCATGCCGCCCTCAATTTGAAGCGCTTCCACTTGCACCACAACAAAGTACAGGTTGACTCCAATAACCACAATGGTTAATAAAATGGCAACGATTTTGTTGCCGCTGCAGAGCAGAAAATCAGTTTTCATTATTTCGATTGCTAGTTAATAATTCTCATTTCATTACTTACATTCCATTCACAAATTCTCCCATGATGGCTGCGCACGATGTAAACGCGATGGTGGGAATCGCTGCAAATGGCAATTGAAGCGACATCACCGCATTAAGTATATCATTCATATTGGTCAGATCTTCCATTTTGCTGAACATGGCCAGGCAGAAAGTGGGTATGATGGCAATGCAGCGCGTGACCAGCACGCGACACCAGCGGGGCCACTGCAGATTGAGGAAGCCCTCCATGGAGAACTGGCCGGCATATGTGCCTGTCATGGTGGAGCTCTGGCCGGCAGCCAAAATGCCCACGCCCCAAATATACATTGCGGCGGCCCCAAATGTGCAGCCCAGAAACAGACCGCCCTTGTACAAATCGGCATTGATGATGTCCGTGAGATTGTGATTGTCCGTGAACGATAGCTTGGCATCCTCATACATCGATTTGTTGGTGCACACGTCCAGCTAAAA